TAAGATTCCGTTCAAGTATTTGCCTCAGCTTGAAGGAAAGATTTCGATTTCATTGCATGGTGGAGGAACGCACGAGCGATGCGTAATACATAACAAGATTCTATCCAAATATTCTGTTGACTTTCAAGCAACGGTTTCGACTTGATTAGATGGTGAAGGAACGCATGAGAAATGAATTGTTCGTACTAAAATTCTATTCAAAGATTGGTTTCAGTTCGAAGAAAAGATTGGGAGTTCATTACATAGTTGAGAAACACACAACAAATGAATAGTTCATAGCAAGATTGTTTTCATATATTGTGTTCATTGCGAAGCGAAAGTGTGAAATTAGTGAGATTGAGGGAGATCACATGGTAAATGAGTATTTAGTAGATTTCTATTCGAATGGTGTGATGTGTATCATATGCAGTAAGTACGCTGTGGTTAGAGAAAAAGCCTCAAGGAAAATGAAGAACTCGTACGTTTGCGGATTAAATGATGGAGCATACGATTGCTATTCGGACCTTGAATTGCTGCTTCATGTGCCATCGCGATGTAACTTATTGTCACTAAAACCAAGAATACGATTGAAATGATTTGCTGACTAACCTGCATAGTTGTTTATTATAGCTCGACGTTGAGAAGAAAGTATTGTGTAAATATACACAAGATGTAGTTGGTATGTTTTTACATCGACGCGCTCGTCCTTTTATATCTCATCGATAGCGAGTGGGATTTCGTACTCATAAATCGGATATTTTTACTTAAAAATCATATTTTTGCACTTTACCTTTGGTGATTCACCACTTAACAATAGGATTTTTTACTCATAAATCGGATATTTTTACTTATTAATCGTAGCTTTGACTCACCAATGGGAATTCCCCACCTATCAATGGGATTTCGTACTTAATAATTGTAATTGTGCACTTACCAATGAGAATTCGCCACTTGTCTACTTCGCTATTGTGAACTTAAAAAAGAAAAAGTTCAAATAGAATAAACTGAGTTCAAATATTTTATCGACCGTGAAATTAAGTTGTGCGTAATTTTTGAATAAACGGTTCCAATTTTATGAATTTTTTTATTAAAATTTTAGTAAATGAGACTATATGTTGAAATCTAATTTTTTTTAATATTTTAATCAGATTTAATTTTATTTTAAGGTAAATTGAAAGTGAGTGCTACAAGGTGTAGAGGATGTAAGTTTTTACTTAAAAGGAGTTTTTGAATAACGAATAATAACTGCAAGATGTAGAGGGCGTAAGGTATCATCTACTAAAATATTCTCATGGAAAAGTAGGTGCCTTTTTTTACAGTTATATCAGCTATGAAAAAGTGTGATAATATTTTTCTTATACTTCTTATTAAGTATTATAATATCAGCTTTTATGGATTTACAACCTGATTTTGTAAGTGATTTCGACCGATGAGTAAAATCAGAAACAGCTGTATGTAATCAATTTAGCGGAATATAGAATTGAATATTTTGTAATGGATTCTATTATATGAATTTAATTTTTAAGATCGATAAAAATATAATACTTAAAATCAATGAGTAAAAATATCAGATTAGAATAGAGACAAGAATCTTTTTAAACTAAAGCAGAGTAAGATTTTAAACATATTTTTGTGATAATTCAATATTTATTTTTTCAAATCAGAAATGTCTTCTATGAGAATTCGAAATTTCGACATTTTGGATCTTTACATTTGATCTGATATTTATATGTAAGAAACAACCGCAGATGCTTTAATGTCTGTTAACAAGCTATTTATCTCTGTATATCCATTTGTCAATACGGAAAATTCTTTTTATATATACATAATATAATAATATTTGGTTATCCTTATAATTTTCTTATATATTCTGGCACTAAGAATATTAAATCATCCATTTTCGAGCGTGGATCGGTAGGGCACATTTCTGTTTTAATTATCATATTGATGCACAATAAATGATTATCAATACTAGAGATATTTCATGTTAAACTAGTTTTTTCAATAATATGATCAATGATATATTACTCGAAAGCATTTTTATTTAATTTTGGATTGAATTTTTGATAACACAGGAATTAATTTCGTTATACTGAAAATAATAATTTGAATGGAACTTATCATTGATATTTTTCTGATTGAATTTTATTAGAACAAAATTTTTAAAAGTGTGTGTGTATGCGAGTATTAGAACCATTACACACCCACACCCTTAAGATGGTTTCTTAATTTAAAGTCTATCCTATGATATTGAGTTAAAATTCCTAAATAAGATATTGTTTATTTGTTCAAACAGATAAATCTATACAAAATCAAAAGACAAAACTGTTCTATACATAAGAAGAAGAAGAAGACAACAATACACTATGTTAATCAATCTAACATTTGACTGAGTTTCTTAGCTATTTCAATAATATCATGTAATTTTTCTTGATTTAAATCTTCGATTTTCTTGATATGAACATGTAATTCGACGGAAATTTGTTGTTCCAGTTGTTCAATATAACCTAATGTACAACGAAGTTTATAAAAATCATCATTTTTATAATGTATAGGTACATATGTTCGTATAATATGTACTTCAATATTATCATAATAAAATATATTTCTTATAATACTATAAGAAATAATCGGAATAATATAATCTTGTAATGGAAGTGTTAAAGGATGTGTTGGATCAAGTAATGTTTCATGTTTAAATATAGATGAATAATTTTGTTGATTTATTATTGAATAAGAACGAAATTCATAAAGAATATCACAATGATAAGATGAATTTTGTTGATGAAAACATTTAAAGAATATTTTTGGTAGATTATTCAGAGATTTTATTCGACCATTTTTATCAAAATGTATACATATTTCATGTTTAGAATGTGTATTTAAACAAATAAGAAGTATTTCACGTTGATGATCAATAAAAGTCATTTTAAACCATGGAAATATTAAATAAATTGAGTCTGATTCTAATTGAACATACTAAAATTAAAAAAATTACACAAAAAGAAAAGAAAAATTTTTCCTACTTTTCGTTTAATTTGATGATTAAATTTATAAAAGATTTGTTGTAAACAATGACTATTTTCTTTTGTTATTTCAATTCGTTCAAGAATTGTTGATGGAAAAAATGTATCAAATAATGGAGGTAAAAAATGATTATTTATTAAAGAATCTAATGTTTTTGGATAAGAATTATTCGATATAACTTGATTGTTATATTTTAATAGATAAATATTTCCAAATGAAATAATCATTTTCAATAATTCATTATCATTCATAGAATATTGACATGAAGAAATTTGTTCATAGAATAGAGAAGAACAAGATTTAAATTGATTAAAAGATAATGGATCAAGTTCAATACGAAGTCGAGTTAGATCATAATGTTCGGAATAAAATGATTTTGTTGATGAACATAATTGTATGGATGATGAAGATGACAGCATACCATCGATTAGAAAAAATTGTGGAGGAATTTTATTGTAAAATGTTATCGAACTATCATTCTAAATTTCATGTTTCATTAAGGTCTACCTATCATTCATTTTTCTTTTTAAGTAAACTTACGTTTATTAAAATTGAATTTTGAATGGGTGATAATGGAGAACCAGGATGTAATTGTATGGATCTATTAGTTGGAATGAGAAGTTGATCAGTTGTATTTTTTGATGGATTGATATTCATTTGAGCAAAAATATCTTCAAGTTTATCGATATTTCCATATTTATAATTAAGTGCATTATGATAAAGTTTTCCAACAATTGATTTCGATTGATATGATCTATTCTTTTCTTTACCTAAGAAATCTGGATATTTTCCTCCAATTTTCTCACGAATTTCTTTAATACGTTTTTTATCAATAATATAACCTGTTTTGCCCGAATCAACTAATATAAAACAAATTAAATTAAATTAAATCTATTCGATATAATATAAAACAAACTAGAAGATGAAAACATTCGAGCTAATTCAATTGCTAATGGTTGACATGTTCGTTGAGAATAATTTTCAGAATTTTTATCAACAATGACGGCATGTAAATTATATATTTCACCTGAACTAGTTGCATTTAATATTGAAAGATAATATTTAATAATATCTATTGGAGAAATATCTGTTGATTGATATTGTTTTTCATCAGGTGTGTAATCAAGTGGTGGAACTTGATATTTAAGACGTAATTCTTCTCCCCAATAAATCTTTTAAATAAAAAAAATTTTAAATGAGAAAAAAAGAAATTCAATCAATTAATTTACAAAATAACCATCACCATCAAGATCCGATCCAGCAATTTTATTAAAATCAGGTCCTATGAAATTTTTTCATTTTCATTTGGAATTAAATCAAAATAATATACATACGTTCACCACGTACTGAAAAAACAATAACATCATGTAAATGAGATAATTCTGGTAGATCAACTGCCCATAATTCTAACATATCACCAGCATATGGACTAAAAATTTTATTTTTTTTCAAAATAATTTTTTTTATTAGAAAGAATTTACCAAGGATTTTTTGTAACAATCACTCTTCCTCGTACACATTCGTATTTTGGTTGAGAAAATGATTGTCCATTATCGTTTAGAATTTCATAACGAATAAAACATTGTCCTTGTTCAAGATTAGATTCTAACGCACATCCATATAAATATCGACATTCATTTACAGGTAATGGAATTTTATTTTTCAATAAATCACTAAAATATAACTTTTCTATGACAAATTCAACAAATTATGACTAACTCGAAATATTTTGAACGTGATGGTTTCTTACTAAACCATCGTTGTTGAAGTCGAAAAAATGTTATATCAGGTACTCCAAGATCTGATAAAAGCCATATAAACTGATTATTTAATCTAGTTGGTGCTAGAAATGAAATAAATAATTATATTTAAGAAACAACTTTCTAAATACAAGTATTTACTTGCACGACTAAAACCACAAATATCTAATATCCAATGATTAGATTCAAATTTTTTCATTGATGGTCGAATTTTAATATAATATTGTTCATATGTTGATTGTGGATCAATAATAATTAAACCTTTACAACCAGCTATTCGAATTTGATAAGCTGATGGAATAATACAAGATTTATTTACTTTTTCATTAATTAATTTTGCTAAGCCTTTTGAAACTAAACCATTTCCATCTGTAAAACAATGGCTATTTCTTTCAATATCATCAATCATCATAATACATAATTCACCTTGTTTGACACGATAATTAAATTCATTTTCATTTAAACAATATTTGAATTCAATCTAAAAAATATATATTCAAAACAAAAACATTTTTTTAGAAAGAAAATAGTCATACATATGTTGGATCAGTTTTACTAAAACATAAACCTAATCGAGCTACATATGTTCCTAAATTTCGTATTGTATGAAATTCACCCAATAATTGTCTTTTTTGATGAATTTGATCTAATGATGATGCTTTTAAAAACCAAAATGAATGATCTTTTATTTGTGAATTTGATGCTCCAAATAAATGATATGTATATCCATTTAATTCAATACCATTTTGAAATCTATCTTGAAAATATTCTACCATTTGATTATTTGAATTTAAATATAAATTTGGTGGATCTGGTTTTATATAAACTAGACAAAAATGATTAATATTTTTAAATAAAGAATAATGTAGAATACGATGGCCTTTCGTTTTCTCTTTTGGTTTAATTAATAAACGAGTTGGTGTTAAATAAATAACAGATATATATTGAATATTATTTTCCTTAGAAATTTTTTTTCTAGAATTTTTATTAAAAATTTTTGTTAAATCAAACCAATGACATTTTTCTAATTGTTCATAGGCTTCTAATGATAAATTATAAAAATTCCATTCATTCTCTTCAGCTAATTCAATCATTTGATTTTGAAGAATTTGATTATCTAAATATTTATCATCAAAAACATAACCTAATGAATGTAACATTGATATAGAATAACGTGTATTCTCTGTTCGATAAGAATTTAGATAATTATTTGACCATTGATCATGATTACGTTGAATTGTAATAATTGTATAATAAATTGTATAATTATAATTTATTCGAAAATAATTAAGAAATCGATCAACATTTGACTTCGGTGATAGACATATTAAAAAATCGGTACATTGATTTAATGACTGAACAATTGGATTATTTCCATACATTCTTATGTAGAGAGAAAAAACTGAATTTATTCAATAATTATAATAAGGAATCATTACTTTTCAATTGATATCATATTATAATTAAAAATAATTTCAGAAAAATCTTCACCATCAATAACAAGTATTTGTTTATGTAAAAATTTCAATGGTATTGATAAACGTATTGATTCTTCTTGTGTTTCAATAATTAATGTTTGTTTATTATCGATTTTAATTATCCAATGTTTTTTATGATTAAGAGGAGTAGAATGAATAAGAAATTTGTCTGTCGAAAGTAAAGAACCAAAATAAATATAATTCGGAATAATTGAATTATTTAAAAAATACGATGAAGAAATAGTTGAGTCATCATCATGATCAATTGAAAACCAAATTTGTGGATATTGATCAAGTTTATCAGCAAGATTCGAACGAATTTGACGAGCATTTGATAATGAACATGTATAAGAATATTGATTATTATCTTTTTGCTTTACTAATGTATGAATATTTAATGATGATGAAATTATTTTAACAAGATCATTTGATACATTATGAAATGTACAATGAACAGAACGTCTACATGAAAAATATTTTAAAATATATATTTTAAATTTAGAAAATATTCATACTCGGTCATAGTTTGACTTTATCTTTTAATAATTCTTCTTCTACATGTGTTTAGAATACAAAGAAAATCGTTATTATTTGTTTTTTTTCCATTCTGTTAGCTGTTCAAATGATTCATAGTTAGGGGTGTCACTTTATCGATTTATAGAGAAATAGTTTATTTGATCAAATCACTTACAAGAAAAAGACAAAAAAAAAACTCCTGATTTTCATGTATATATGTATATATATTTCTTTTTTTAAATAAAAATTAAAACAAAATTATGTCATAATCATATTTTGCAAATACATGTTTTACGACAATAACGTTCAAGATCTGGAGTACGTCGACAGTTCTCTAATGAACATGTACCATCTTTATAAAAATCTTCACAACCTAAACAAAAATTAGAAATAATCAATAAATAAAAAAAATCTATATTTCAAATATTAATAAACTTACAAGTATTACAAGTTCTTGGACAATGTACTCGACATGGAACACCAGAAAATTCATATTCAGGACCACAATAATCTTTATAAGCAGGACAAGGAATTGTTAGACTATCATCACAAATATATGGTGCAATTGTTGAATTAATATAAATCAATGATGTTGTTCCAATAATTATTGATGATTTTTGTGAAATAATTGTTACAATTGATGATGATAATGTTGTCGTACTTTGCATAGACGATATAGCTAAAAAATAAAATTTTATTTTATATAAAAATTAATTAAGAAAAAATCTGTTTCAAACCGTTTTGACATAATTCACCAGTAAAATTGATTGAACATAAACATGTAGCATCGGTTGTACCGTGTAATGTGGTACATGTACCACCATTTAAACATCTCTGACGACCTGCACATGGATCATCAAATAATGATTGACATGTTGTCCCTGTTCGACCAGTAGGACATTGACATGAATAACTATTCATTAGAGATATACAAGTTCCACCATTTAAACATGGAGAAACTGGATAACATTGATTTATATATTGACAACGTTCACCACTAAAATTTATTGGGCAATTACATATAGCAAATGAACCATAACTTGAACAAGTGCCACCATTAATACATTGAATTGTTGAACATAAACTTAATGATTGTGCACATAATGTACCAGTAAAAGCTGCTGGACATGAACAAACATATGATGTACCAACAATATTACATGTACCACCATTGAGACACTACGCAAAAAAAGAACAGTTTTTAGATTAGAAAGAAAAACAAAAAGTATATATATATATTTTCATACTGGATTTGATAAACATGGTGATACCATTGCTGTTTGACATCTTGCACCTGTATATGTTGTTTGACCACAATTACATGTAAATGTTGTTCCTGATGCAATACATTGTCCGTTATTTAAACATGGTTTTAATGAACATGGATCTGTTGAATATTCACAATATTTTCCTTGATATCCTATTGGACATTGACATAAAACATTTGTACCATTTATAATTGTACATGTCCCACCATTTTGACAAACTTTTAACGTACACATATCAATTAGATTTTCACATAATGGACCCGTATATAATGATGCGCACATACATTGAATACTTGTACCAATAATAACACAAGTACCTCCATTACGACAATTATTTGTAACATGAGCTGCATCACAACGAGTTTGATATAAAGAAAATTGACAACGTTCACCAGAATAACCAATTTGACATGAACAATAATAATAACATGTTACATTTATAAAATAGGAACATGTTGCATTATTTATACATGGTGATGATATACATGGATTATAATGTTCACAATATTTTCCAACAAAATTTTGAGAAGCAGGACATTGACATGATTGAGTAACTTGTGTACTTGCTTCATTTATTGTTGCTATACAAGTACCACCATTTGAACATGTTGTGATATCACATGGATTTGGTAAATTACATTGTATACCTAGATAACCTGGATAACATACACAAAGATATGCACGACCACCATTGATTACAGTACATGTTCCATATTGACATGGATTACTTGCACACTAATAAATAAATAAATAAATAAATAGAGAATATTTTTTTATATTAACTTACGGGATTTGTTGCACATGTACATGTATAATTTCCTGAAGAACTTAACATTGGTTGACATGATACAGATAATCCACTTGCTATACATGGATTGATAACTTCACAATTTATACCAACATAAGAAACTGGGCATGTACACATATATCCAGTGGTTGTTACTTGACATGTACCACCATTACGGCATGGACTACTTTCACATAATGTTCTTGCCAATGGTGTTTGACATTGTGCGCCATAATAACCAGTCATACAAATACATGTATAACCAGTTGTATCGGATTGTATACATGTACCATATATACAAGGACTACTTGCACAAGCAAGAGATATATTACAAGTAGCACCTGTCCATCCAGCATAACAAGCACATTGTGCTGTTAATAAAGTTGGATTTATTTGACAAATACCATGAACACATGTCATATTTCGACATGGATTTAATGCTTCACATCGAGCACCATAATACATTGGTGTACACATACATCCTACAGTTGTTGTTGTTAACATTGTACAAGTTCCATTATTTACACATGGATTTGGTAAACATAAATTATATGTTTGACAATTTGCACCCACATAATTTGTTGCACATACACATGTATATGTACTAGGGCCTGATGGTACACATGTTCCACCGTTAAGACATGGAAGAAGACTACATGGATTAGCAGAAAGACAATTTGGACCAGTTAATTGTGATGGACAAATACATGTATAAGCTAAACCATTATTTATAGTTGCACATGTACCTGTATTACATGGTGATGATAAACAAGGATTTAGAATTGTTTGACATTGTGCACCGGTATAGATTGGTAAACAAATACAAGTATATCCACCAGTTTGAAGTGGTAAACAAGTACCATTATTTAAACCTAAAAATATTTATATTGATTATTCTCTTATCAATTTTTTAGAAATAAAACTTACAAGGAGTATAAAGACATGCATTCGTAACAAGATTACATTGTGGTCCTGTAAAACTCGATGGACATATACACATATAACCAGTTGTACCACTTGGAATACAAGTACCATTCGATTGACATGGATTTGGTGAACATAATGATGCAGCAGCTTCACATCTTGAACCCGTGTATCCCGTTGCACATATACATACAAGTGTACCATTAAATAATTGTACACATGTACCACCATTTAAACATGTTGTACTTGTACAACCATTACTTAATGGTGTTTCACAATCATCACCACCAAATCCTCCAGTACAAAAACATCCATAACCTACAACGCATGTACCACCATTGGCACAAGCAAGTGTTGGTCGAGTAGTTGTTGGACATGGTGTTTTTGTTACATTACATGTTGCACCACTTGTATTATTAGGACATAAACATGTTGTTCCAACACAAGTACCATTATTACGACAAGGTGATGATGAACAAAATGGTGTTAATATTGTTTGATTACAACGACTACCTGTTGTACCAGTTGGACATAAACAAATCGCACTACTATTCAATAAAGTAGCACATGTAGCATTTGCTGCACATGGCATACTTGAACATGGATTTGCTATATCACAGAGAGCACCAGTAAAACCAACTGGACATGTACACATATATGCTGAACCAGTTAAACGAATACATGTACCACCGTTACGACAAGGTGGAACTGTTCCAGCTGTTACGGAACATGCATCAACTATTTCACAATAACGACCCGAACGACCTGATGGACATACACAAAGAAATGTTGAATTAGCTAACATAACACAAGTGCCTTGAATACAAGTTACTGTTGAACATGGATTTGAATATGTTTCACAATAGAGACCTAGAAGCAAAATTAGAAAAAAAAAACTAAAATTCTTGCAATAATTTTTACCTGTAAAACTACTTGGACATTGACACATTGGTTTTGTAGTAGCATCAAGATAACAAGTACCACCATTAAAACAATATGGTATTGAACTATTACATGGATTAAGAAGAACTTCACAAAAAGTACCCGTTGCAAGACCACAACATAGACACGTTATTTTAAATGTTGATGCATCATAAATACATACACCATTATTCAAACCTATATAATAATATAGTAATTATTAAATCGTAAGAGATAAAAAAAAACCAAGAACTTACATGGATTCGAATCACAAGGAAGTATAGAAGTTTCACTATGTAATATAAAAAAGAATTAAAAAAATTAAAATAAATTATCTAACAGTACCATCGAACACCAGTAAAACCTGCTGGACAAGTACATACTACACCTCCAGTTGGTGTTGATCGACATACACCTCCATTAAGACCTATTCAATAAAATTATATTTTAATAAAATTTTGTTTTATAATAACAATAATTATGACATACATGGATAGATAGTACATGGACAATTACATATTTCACATCGAGTACCAAGATAACCGGTTGGACAAATACATGTATATGATTGAGTACCAATAGCAAGACATGTTCCATTACGAAAACAGGGTTGTGAATTACAAGGATTTGTTGTCATTGAACAATTTGTACCAGTAAAACCAACTGAACATAAACACATGTAACCCGATAATGATGAAATCTAAATTTAAATAAAACAAAAAAAAGGAATAGAGATAAATAATCTACAAAACTTACACAAGTTCCATTATTAAGACAAGGTGTTGGATATATAGAACATAGATCTAATGGTTGTTCACAATAAAGACCTGTTGTGGTTGGCATACATGCACATGAAAAACCTTGTGCTAAAGATGAATTAACTCGACATGTTCCACCATTAACACAGACGGACGGATTTCTTGTACAAATATTTGTTCCATTTGTTGGTGTATCACAAAATGTTCCTGTAAAAGTTGGTAAACACATACAATAGATTCGATTTGCTGTTGAATCTTGATAACATGTACCATTATTTCGACATGGATTTGATCCACATAATGACAGGTATGTTTCACAGCGACCACCTGTATAAGTCGTTGGACATTGACAAAAATATCCAAGTGGTACTGTAGCTTGACGTTTTTTACGACCCATACCACCTGTACTATAACATGTACCACCGTTGACACAAGGATGACCTTAGAAATAAAGATATATATATAAAATAAAAAAAATATATTAAATAGATGATCTTACTATCACATGCATTATTTAAAGATTCACAACGTGTTCCTGTAAATAAACTTGAACATTGACAAATTGTTCTATCACCATTCATTAAACATGTACCACCATTTAAACAACTCGTATTTCCACATATAATTGATAGATATGTTGAACAAATTTGACCTAAAATAAATTTTTGTTATCGAATCATTTTTGATATAAATTTTAAGATGACTCACCAGTATATGGTGCTGTACAAATACATTGATAACCTAATGTACCATTCGTATATGTTGATGGTAAACATAAACCATTATTTAAACATGGTGATGGTATACAAGGTGATATTTGTATTTCACATCGAGTACCTGTGTAACCTCCAGCACAAATACATATTGGTACACTATCTTGTGCACGTATTGCACATGTTCCATTATTAGCACAATTTATTGTACATAGATTAGGTGAAATAATTTCACATCTTAAACCAGAATAACCTTGTGTACATATACATGAATATGTTATACCAGTTGAATAGCAAATACCATTGTTAAGACATGGTTGAGATGAACATGGTGATATCATTACATCACATGCTACGCCTGTCCATTGCGTATTACAATAACATACTGCACTTCCATCGGCACGTAATAAACATTGACCATTGACACAGGGTAATGTTACACATGGAGATATAGGTGTTTCACAATATTGACCTAAGAAAAATAAGACTTAAGATTTTACAAAAATGAAAAAAAAATTCTACCAGTAAATGTAGATAAACATTGACATCGAATAACTGTTTGATTTGTACTATTAAATACTGAAATACATATACCAGAATTTAAACAAGGATTTGTTGTTGTACATAAATCTACACGTTGTGCACATAATGTACCTGTCCATACTGGTGGACATAAACATGCAATAGCACTTAAACCATTATAAACACAAGTACCACCATTTAAACATATGGTTGTTGAACATGAACCAACAAAATTCTCACAACGAGATCCCGTATAATTTGATTGACAAATACATGTATAATTATATGATAATGATGATACACATATACCATTATTAACGCATGGTGATGATAAACAAGGTTCAATCCGAGTAAAACACTATTTAAGATGGAAATAAATATTTAAGAAATTATACTATAGAATATTTAATTTTCAAACCTGAGCTCCTGTATAACTTGGTGCACATGCACATATTGGTTTACTATCAGCAGTACGATAACATGTACCACCATTTGCACATGGATATGTTAAACATGGATTAATATATGTTTCACAGAATACGCCTGTAAATGTTGGTGTACATACACATGAAAAATTACTTGTACCAGGTGTTATTACACAAATACCATTATTAACACATGGTGCACTTAAACAAGGACTTACAGGCACATCACATACTGTACCAGTATAAGACGGTGTACAAAGACAACCACGACCACCAATAGCTGTTGGTGAAATAACACATGTACCACCATTTAAACATACAAAATTCATACATGGATTATATTGTTCACAAAATGTTCCTGAATAAGTTGGTGTACATATACATAAATATGAATTACCAACTGTTGATAAACATGTTCCATTATTAAGACAAGGTCTTGATTGACATGGATTTACAATAATTTCACAATATGTGCCTGAAAAACCCACTGGACATAAACATTGAGTTGTTGTTAATGATATTTGTATACATGTACCACTATTTAAACAATTTATTGTTGAACATGTTAAAAGAGTTGTTCCACAACGTGGACCTGTATAAGGTGATGCACAAAGACATGTATAAGTTAAACCTGTTGCATCACGTAAACATGTTTGATTATTAAGACATGGAGATGAAAGACATGCATCTAATGGTGTGTCACATAATGGTCCTGTATGTGCTGCGTCACATGCACATACATAACGAGTTCCTGTTGAATAACATGTGCCTGTTCGACAAGGACTACTTGTACATGGATTTGGTGTTTGTTCACATTGCCGACCTGTCATACCAGTTGGACATATACACATATAAGTTGTACCCAAATTTACACAAGTACCATTATTAATACTATAAAAAGAAAAGGAAAATTTCAATTTTAATTCTTTTTTTAAATAAAATTTACCATGGTAATAATGAACATTGATCAATAGGATGATCACAAATAAGACCTGTATAATTAGGCATACATGCACAATAATATGTACCATTTGCTAATGTAAAACATGTACCAAATATACAACGATTTGGTAAACATGGATTAACTAAATTTTCACATCGAGCACCTGTATATAATACAGGACATGTACATGTATAATTTGTTCTTAAACTATTTGAAAGACATGTACCATTATTATAACATGGTCCACTAACACATGGTTCAACTGTCATTTGACAAAATATACCTGTTTGTGTTGGAGGACATACACATGTTGGTTGAAATAAACTATCTAATAAACAAGTACCACCAAAGAAACAAGGATATGTTAAACATGGATTAACTAATGTTTCACATAAAACTCCTGTCCATGTTGGTGGACATAAACAAAAAAATGTAGTAAGTGTTTGAGTAAGACATGTACCATTATGTAAACATGGTGATGGTGTACATGAATCAATACGTTGAAGACATTGTAGACCAGTATATAATGGTGGACATAAACATGTTACTGATGTACTCGAATAAAGACATGTACCATTATTATAACAAGTTGTATTTGTACATGGTGGTAAAATATTTTCACACAAAATACCTGTACGATTAACTGGACATATACAATTAAATCTTGTTCCATTTACTACACAAGTTGAACCACTTAAACAAGGAGATGATACACATGGATTTACTAAAGTTTGACATAATGGACCTGTAAATGTTGCATTATTACAAACACATGTAAAATTTGATGTAGCTATATTTAAATAACATTGACCATTTGGTAAACATGGATTTATTAAACATGGATTAATCAATTGATCACACAATGGACCAGAATATGGATATGGACAAGAACAATTATATGTTTGACCATTAGGACTTGGTATACATGTGCCGCCATTATGACAGGGAGAAGGAACATTTGGATTTGTTGGACATGGCGAAACTGGAATTTCACAACGTGCACCAGAATATAATGATTGATTACATACACAAACGTATCCAAGAGGAGAACTAATTCCCGGAACTGACGCCTGTAATAATTGTTGATAACATGATCCATTATTAAAACCTAGAAGAATATAAATATTTTTTTTTACGATTGTTTTCTAACTAGAAAAAAAAATATTTACAAGGATTGCTTCCACATGGATTAATTGGAACTTCGCAGAGTGTTCCATTAAATCCAGATGTACAAAGACAAAAAAACGTAGTACCCAGGTTAATACACTGTCCATTATTTCGGCAAGGTGTTACTGCACAAGGATTTGTCGTTGTTTGACAATTAATACCTCCTAATCCTGGTGGACATAAGCATTGATAACTTGTTCCATTCGTTACAACACAAGTTCCTTAAATAATACAAAAAGAAAAAATATTTCAAAAAATCAAAAACAAAAAATTCAATTTTACCATTATTTTGACATGGTAAAAGTGCACATGGATTAAATGTAGTACAATTTGTTCCAACATAATTTGGTTGACATATACATAAGTATGTACTACTCAAACCTGGTAAACATACACCATTTGGTGAACAAACATTTAAACAACAATAATCAATTATGTCACATAAAGGTCCACTATAACAAGTTGTACAATTACATCTAATTGTTGCATTTGAATATCCTGAACATGTACCATTATGTTGACATGGTGATGATAAACATGGAAGAAAAGTCTTTAAAGTAAAAACAATAAACAATTAAAACAGAATTTTTCTTTGATCACATACTTCACAACGAGCTCCAGTAAAAAGTGGTGAACTACAATTACAAGTGGGTACTGGATTACTAATACAGGTCGCATTATTAAGACAACTACGATTATTTAATGCACATAAATCAAGAGCTAAATAAAAGAACTATACATATATGAAATCATATCAAAAATAATAACTTACCTATATCACAAAGAACACCCGTTACACCAGGCGGACAAACACATGTTATAATCCCAATTCCAGTTAATGTACAACCAGCAGTAGGTCCACAAATATTACAAACGTCTAATAAAGATTGTATTTTGAATTGTAAAATATATATATATATATTGAAATTACCTGTATTATTACAAAATTTCCATTGAGGATTAGTATCACAATTTGAATTTTGACAGCAAAATGTTGAATGATTTAGACCAAGAGGTATACATGAAGAATAACTTTCATTTTTATATATAAATGGAAATACACAACCATCAACATCTAAAATATAATTTTAATTAAATGAAATTCTTTTATTTATTTTTTTCTCTTCTATACTTTTCGTTGGTTCTTTTGTTATATTTAATATAGTTGGTCCTGTTATATTTGGTGAATTAGTACCATTAACTGTTATTACTATAATAATTGTATTATTCGGACCAGGTCTAAATGAAAATATTTCATTTTTAAGAATTAAAAAAAAGAATAATTTATTTACCTAACAATATCAATATTTGTGTTGTTTGGTAATTGACTAGTAATATTAAGTAATGTAGCATTAAAAGTATTATTACCCAAAGGAATAACAATAGTAATTGTTGTTGACGCTAAAGAAATATTATTTTTTTTTCGTATAGATTAATTAATAGAAACTTACGATAAGCACATTGTAGACCAACCCAACCATCGACACATTTACATTGAAATGTACCATATTGTTGATTAACGGAACATGTTCCATTATTTAAACAGGGACCTGATGCACACCAATCAACTAGAAAATACATTGAAAAAAATTTAATTTATTTATTTATTTCTATAAAATTTTTCTTTTTATATACTATTTCGACAATCAACAAGTCGCCCAGTAAACACTGGTGTTGCACTACACCAAGGAAACCCATACCCAGTTGTTATACAAGTTGTATAATTTGCACCATTATACGCAAATGGAAAAGAACATGTTGCATTTGCTAGATAAAAGAAAATATTTCATAGTTAAATTTTGGAAAAAAAAAGTTTTTCTTTAAACAAACTATTTATTGGAATAAGATTTGTTTGATTGAAAGCAACATTATATGGACCAATTGTCAAATTTGATTTAAGTTTATCAGTAAATGGTAGTTCAAAATCAGGTATTGAATAATTTTTACCAGCTACAATTATATTAACTTCACCGGATGGACTAGAAATAAATAATGATTTTAATTTTTTTAATATTTTTCTCTCTCTCTTCTATTACCCAATAGAAATACTAGTAGCAATAACACCTCCATTTGTCATATTAATAATTGTTTGATTAATCATTGCTACAAGTGTTGGAATACCTGGAGATGTTTCATTAGAATAATTCAGCAGAAATATCCTATAAGCACGACCAACTATACAAAAAGAAAAATAGAAACTATCAATATTTAGTTCATTAAATCTATATAAATATTACAATTTTCACAAAGACGCCCATAGTATGGATCAGTACAATTACAAGCAAAATCTTGTAAATCAGGTCGATTAATACATGTTGCATTATTTCGACAAAGTAATGAACCATTTCGACAAAAATCTATAGATAAACATATCTTGAATATTATGAACAACTGTAAGAATAAGTTTCTTTTTACCGAAACTTCCACAATCTCTTCCTAATGTTTGTGTTACTTCACAAAAACATGTCCAACCATTATCTGCAGCTACACAACGTATTGGAAAACTCGGTGTACTATTACATGGATTTGATATATTTAATGTTTCACATGCTGTATATTGTGCTGTTGGTAAACCACTTGCATCACATAATTTACGATCTGTTAATGTATAATTTAATCCAAAAGAACAATAAGCAAGACCATTACTATCCATATGACATACAGCTAATGATTGAGTATTATAACCATATGGTAAAGTACAATTTGGTGCAGCTTAGAAAAAGACAAAAAAAAGGATTAAATTCAGAATCAAAAAAATATATTTGAATATTCATACGACTCAGTGGTTGAACATCATCAATATCTGTTAAACTTCCATTATCAAATATTGAATGAAATTCTGGTGGAAGATTTGCGAGTATTGGTCGAATGATACGTGCTATATCAGTTTGACTAATATTTCCTTTATATGACAGATCAGCACTAACTTGATAGAAATTTCCTTCATCAGTTCGAAAACTAAAACAAAAATAAATTTTTTTCGTTATTTTTCCAAAATAAATTCATTTTTACGTTGTAAAAACTAATGGTAAGAAATCAAATGTTGAATTGGTTCGATTTCTAATAAGATTTCTAAATAAAGTTGTTAGATTTTGATATGTATCTGTTGTTGGAGATTCTAAAGCATTTAATTGTGCTGTAGTCATATTTGGAACAGCATAAAGAGCTTTTAATCGAAAATATGCTAAAAATGAATATATTTAGTTTTATCTAAATTTATTTTCTAACAAATATTTTACCATGTGTACATAAACGTCCTGTATATCCACTCGTACAATTACATATAAATGATGGATATGAATTACCAAATGCCCATTGAGGTGATGGAACACATTGACCATATATGCATGGATGTTGTGCACAATAATCAACTATAAAAATTAATAATAACATATATTTTCTATTTTTCTCATCTAATCCAAATTCTTACTTTGACAACTTCTTGGTATACCAAAAACATTTCTACACCATGGTACTGTTCCTCCCATATAATCAGTTGTTGTTATACATGTATTTTGTGTTCGATTTTGATTATCAACAAAAGGAAACACACAACCAGTTATATCTATAGAAATAATTCATTTAAAAAGAAAGAAAAAATAGAATTTAAATTATTTTACTATATTGACAATAAGTTCCTCCAAAACCAGGTGCACATATACATCGATAGTTTCCTGTTGCTAATGCAACGCATGTACCATTATTAAGACAATTAATATCACTACATTGCAGTACTATAAAAATTAAGAAAACAAAATTATTGTTTATTCTTTCTTAAATTTCTACTAACGTTGATCACAATTTGCACCAGTTACACCACTTGGACATCGACAAAACGTTAGATTTCGACTTGTTGCAATACATCGACCATCTCCACATTGCATTCCATTACATAAAGCAGCATTAATTGGTTCTAATAGAGAAATAAAATTAATAATTTGACTTTTTTATTTTTTCGAAATAAAACCTGAACAAGTTGTAAATTGTCCATCACGATCAAAATTATTTGTTAATGAACAAATCGCTATGCTTTGTGCATTTAATACACATCCAGTTACATTTCGCCCTTCATATATATACCACGGCGCACAATCTCGAGCTAGAAATAATTTCAAATAAATTTTTAAAAGAAATATTTATTGAAAATTATTTTACTTGTATTCACTAGAACAGTTGTTACTGCACCAATATTATTTAATGCATTTTGTGTTGAATTATTAAGGAAATTTAAATAATTTGTGTTTACATTAATAACAGCGCTTGTTGTTCCATCTGGATTTGGACTATAAAAAGAAAATAAGAACATATTCTTATCAATAAATTTTTTTTTTTCAAAATTACATAAATGAAACAATATCTGGTCTAACACCACCGGGTACATTTACAAATGCTGTAGTTAATGTTTGATTAACTAATGCTTGTAATTGTTTCGATGCATTACTACTAGCATTTTGAAGATCAGGTGTATAGGTTACATTTAATGACAGCTGAACCGTTTTAAATTCTATATATATATATAAATGATAAAATTATTCGTATATATTTATAATGAAGAAAATAAAGAATTTCTTACGTAATTCACAGAAATAACCAGAGTATCCAGAAACACAATTTATACAATGAAATGAACCACTAACAGTATCTTGACAAGTACCACGGCTACCACATGGATTATTTTGACATTGTGGAGCTAAAAATGAATTTTTTTTATTTTAATATTTGAAATGTTTTCTTTTATTCAAACCTCCACAACCAACAAGTGATATTGGAAATTGTCCATTAGTTCCAGAATTTCTTCCAACACATACTGGTTGATTATTAATAACAGCACATGATGTATATGTCACATTCATATATGTAAATGGAAAATTACATCCAGTATTACTCGCTATTAACAAACAAAAATATCTTCATTTTTTTTCAAAATTTAATATAATATACCTATTTCACATAATGTACCAACTGTATTATTTGAAGCACAAACACAAGCATTATTAACACAAGTAGCACTATTTGTACAAGTTATAGCCTGAGCATTTGTAATTGGATTACATCCATATACTTTAAAGAGAAGAAAAAATTAGTAATCATTCAATTATAATTTATATATGAAAAACTTACATTGATTACATCGAGGACCAGTAAAATAGGCTGGACAATTACATGTCGCAATACCATTAACTACTGTACATGTACCACCATTAATACATATATTTGGAAAACAAGGATCTTTGGGAATATAATTAAAAACTTAAAAGAAAAACACACGATAAATTATGAATCATTTTTTAAATTAAATCAACTAACTATTTCTTGTACAATCTTGACTATTAAGAGTTGCATTTCTGTCGATAACACGAGATAATGAACATATAAAATTTGGTGCATATGGTATACAAAAATTATAATCAACTAAAGCAAGTGTAAATGGAAAGACACACGCTAAAAAAAACAAAAAATATAAAATTATTTTTTATAAAATTAAATCACTATTTACATGTATATGGTGCTCCATCTTGTGTTACAGCAGTTGTTACATATTGCGGATTAATTGATAATTGATAACCATATGAAATTGTACTATTTCGAATTATTGCTGTTGCAAGTGCTGATTGAATAAAAGGTGTATAGGATGCACTAGTTGGTGTTAATGCCATACTAACTGATATATATGTACCAAGTGGACTTGGACTAACAAAAAAAACGAAATTTGTAAAGTTCGTTTTAATATAATAAAGATGCACTTACGCAACAAAATCGATTGAATATATTCTATTTGCTGGAAGTGTACTAAATGCATTATTTAGCCAAGGAATTAATGAATTTGATAAATTCGCATATGATGCTGAATTGAGTGTATTCAAATAATAATCCAATGAAAATGGTAGAGTACTTGCAAGCATCAAATGAAAATATTCTATAATTTTAGAAAAAAAAAAATGAAATAATAAAGAAGAAAATTTTAATTTACCAAGATTACAAAATACACCATTCCATGGTGCAACACAACGACAATAAGAATATTGAGGATCAACAACACAAGTACCGCCATTCTGACATGGAGATGAATTGCAAAAAGCTTGAGAGAAAAAATATGTTATTTATTAAGAAATAAATAATTCAAATAAATTAACTTACTTGCAGGAACATCGTGATATCGGTCTCGTTCTTGTGTTTGTTCAATTTCAATTTCTATACTTTGAGTATATCGTACTGTTATTTGATTATTTGTTGGATTATTATAATAAATAGTTGCAACAAATGTAAGACGATTATTAAATGACGGAGGTGGCATCCAATAAAATGTAAATTGTAATTGATTTGAATTTTCCATAATAGAATTTTGATTTGTTACTGCTTGTCCTGTTGTTGTTGCTGTCGAACAATCTATAACTTGACCATCCATCGGTGTAAATGGTTGCCATGTACCAATTAATTGTGAAGAATCTCTTGCACCCATTAGAAACCATGATGTATCAGTAAGACTTACTTTTTTTATTAAATTTACTTTAATAATCTTTGATGATGTAAGTTTTTCAATTTCAATTGAATAATTCTCATCATTATTTGTATTTAATGGTGTTAAATTCAAGTCTGAACATTGAGAAGCATTCGAATTATATATCAATAGATGAATTAGAAAGATTATCACCGGTACTAAGAACATTATTGAATGAATTGAATCAGTTTATGATTTAGAATGAAAATCAACCTATCGAACTTGAATGTATGACAAATAAACGAAAAAGTATTTATGACAAAAAATGAATCTTAGATTATGACAAAAAATATTTTTCATAAAATGGTACTACGTAGGTGGACAATGTTTTTCTTATTGTTTAAACCTTCCCATTAACAATCTAATGTGAAAATAATAAGCTACGAATGTGATTAAAGAACCTTTAGAATATACATAAAAATATGTCCGGAGAATTTATAATGATCAATAAACTTCTTACCGATATGAAATTACATGTTATGAATCAGATAGATTTTTCTTTATGAATAGCAAAGGTATATATGTTTATTATGTCCCAAATCTTTTTCAATACATTATTGAATGAATATTTTATTTCCTATAGAATAATAACAACAACGATGATTGAAAACAAAATATATAATACAATATATTTAAAATACAAATTGATTATTCGAGAATTTTATAAATCTCATTTAAATTTATTTATATAAGTTTTTGAGTATCTCTTTAAGTTTAAGTGGAAGAGTATTTCATACGAAAAATAATTCGACATATAACACTCTTTTTTTGAAAATTTTAATATCTATAAAATAATACATGTATAAATAAATCAACTCTTTAATATATCAGCACGTTCTTGCTGTTCTTTTTCTGCTTTCTTCTGTTTTCTTCCAAGTATAAATTGTATTAAACCAGCAACTATTCCTGATAAACATCCAAGTCCAACAAAGATTCCTACTAACCATCCAGGCCTGGTAAATCTATTCATTGACCACATACATGTAGCCATACCAATTTGAAATAATGAATTTGCTATAAAAATCCAAACAACAATTCGAATCCATAAAAGACTAGTTGTATATGAATGACGATGAAGAATTTTATGTTGATCTTTTTTACGATAAACTTGATAAAGATCACGTAATCGCCAAGGTATAAGACCAAGACCAGGTATACAAAAAAGTGCATTTAAAATTTGTGAATCAATTTCAATCCAAATTTTTCGTGTATCATCATCAGGCATGGTTTTATCTGCACCACCAACAAATATAAGAAATAACATACCACCCCATGCAACAACATTAAGACAATAAATTACCAATAAAGTTATTTTTATATATTTACAACATCGACTTTCAAGAAATGCTTTCCATGAACTTGGTCGTGTTGATGGTTGTCTTGCTGATTCCGGATCAGGATCGATAGGAGTAGCAAGATTCGATCCTATTATTGATTGAGTAGACATTGTAAATGAATCAATATTTATAGACAATTCAATTTGAATATATCTATAATGGTTCTTATTTTTTATCTCTCTCTTTTAAATATATGCCATTCCGTTCGAAACAACAAAAACAAAAAAATGTGGTCCAGTGATCACTTATTTTTTTGTATTTAGAAATTTCTTTTTCATTCCTGTGTGTCTGTCTACTCAATAATTGTATCCTGCGCATGTGTTGTTAACGACAACACCGCCCCGATTCAAGTAAAAACTAAAGAAAAAAAA